TTGAGGCGTCTTAGCCGTGACCCCGAATTGATGCAATTTCCCCGCATTCGCATTAATTTTAACCTCTGCCTGACGCTGACAAGGGGTCACAGGACCAGGACGCTGGCGCGCGTTCCCAATTTTATTATATTTTATACTATTTTTACTTTTGCTTGCTTTTTGTTTTATCCCACATCGGCCTGACCAATGGCCAATGGCCAATGGCCAGGGGCCAACCCCCGATCCGCATCTGTAGCCCGCAGGGGTCACGAAAGTGTGAAAATGTGGACTGATTAGACGGCACATCGTCCTTTCCAACCAAGGATCTCTCTGGGGTGGGTGCGGAATAGTCCAGAGTTTGGGTAGGGGTACATTTTTGGCGCTTACTTCCCAACGCCGATTGCCTAAGCTCGGGATTTGGTATGGGTTCGTTTTCGTTGGGTCTTTCCGGATGGACAACAATGGCTGGACTCAAAAATCCTTTATACATTTGTCCAATGTTCAATGTCCGATTCCCAATGTCCGAATGCATTTCGCTGGGGACTTAGTGGCCTTAATTTCCAGCGAATTACGAATGTAATCGCGCCAAATGTTCAGCCAGGAGGATCGAATATAATTTGTGGGATTTTCAAGAATTTTTGTTGATGGCCGTTACTTATGACGAGCCATTAAAATGATTTTCCTTTTACTATTTAATCTTTTCCATTTCATTTTATTAAAAGATCTGAAATTCTTATGTTTAACTGGGATTATAAAAAATATGTCAACATTTTAAATATTTAGCAATTGATTATGAAGAAATGAAAGCATTGTCCATTATACGATTTAAGAATACTTATTTTAGTTAGTTCAGTTAAATATTTATACAGAAAAATATTTTTTAAAAAAAGCTGACATCCGAATTATGAGAAAAATCATGGTTGTACCTTTTTATTTTTTTTTTTTTTTTTTTTTTATATTCATAGGAACATTTTTATATAGCCTTCCTATCGCAGGACATTTCCCCTACAAGTTTTCAGTATTTTCCCTGCAGTAAAATGTTTTAAATTTCTCGCCTTAACCCTTTGAATTTGAATACACCCCATAAACCCACCCAGAGCCAGAATCGAACTTAACCCTTTCGCCTAATGACCAACGTAGTTCCGAGAAGATCGCGGCTCGTAAAAAGTGCGATGCAGTTTTCTCTTAACCCCTTCTCGACGAACCAGGACCAACTTTCTCGTCCCGCAAAAGGGTTGAGGAAGTAGGGATCTACTCGCAGGACAAAAGGACACCATAAAAAAGAAACAACCGAGGCGTCATAAAGAACACAAAGACGCAGACATTAGCTAGAAACAAAAAGAAGAGAAAACGCAAAACACACCGAATTGTGGGCCGTTTCGAAGGAAACTGGCAAGGACACTCCCAGGATGTGATTTTTTCTTAATGGTGAAAGGGTTAAGGTCGCACACAAAAAACGGCAGTGTTCTACCTGCTTGATCATAAAAAACTAAATATTTTATGGTGGCCACAAAAAATACACGGTCCCTTACGCGGAAGTGAGTTTTTTGCGACGTTTTTTAAGTTTCGACCAAAGTCCCGGGCACAATTGTATGTAGAGCGATCCCCTCTAATGACCATTAGACTCTAGAATATTGTATCCTGAATATTTACATTGTATCTTTAGAAGTTTCTCGCGATTTTCCAGCTAGTTTCATTGTTGATCGAAGGCCTTACCTGACCAAAACAAACCGGGACCGAAGCGAAATGCTTAGAAAACAACATGCAAAGCGAGTCGCCTTCATAAAATCTCGTGGCGTGTCGGCTGGAAATCCGCCGGACGATTGTCCTGCATGTCCTGCCGTCGTCCTTCAGGCTTTTGTTTCGCCGCATAGCCAATTTTACGGCGTAACCATTAAGGCGGACAATGAAAATTAGAGCAACTATTCGCCCCGGGCCCAGTCCCCTGCTCTAGTTTCCTTTTTTAATCCTTCGGTTTTTCGTGCTAAAAAAGGATTTACGGATGTTGGGCGAACGCCTGCCCTCGGCCATCCTCTCCTGTGTTTACCATAACATTTCGCCGGAATTTTCCCGCATCCCTCTATTCGTGGGCGTAACGTCGCGACTCGCGCACTTTTCACATCTGATTTATGCGAAATGCTAATTTTTGCGGGTTTGTAAGGGTCTCGACATGGCTGTGAAGTGTGCAAAATGACCGGCAAATGAAACAGAGATTTGCAAGTGTTTTTTGCTACCTAAGGAACCCAAATCACAGAACAGATCTTTAATATTGAAAAGGAAACCACGAATTGTTTGCAAAACGAAGACAAGTCAGAAATAGCAAGGATTCAATGAACTTAGTAAATGCCAAATAATAGAATTCATCAGATTGTTATATACCATTTAAAGAGGTGTTTATATAAAAAATATTTTAGTTTTTCTATATTATTAGGTACATAAAAAACAGTTTTAAACTATTTGTAAGGATGATTCTGCAACGTCTTATTAAATCAAAATTTGTGTAGAGCCCACTATCTTTAAGATACATTAAAATAGTTTCTAAAAATCTTTGAAGTCTTTAAATGTAAGTATATAAAACTGTTTTCAAAATATTCTCCACTCAACGGTAGCTCTCAAATCTAAGTAATTGTGTAGCAAAACCAATTTGCACTAAGATCAAAGAGCTAAATCCCCTCACAAAAACCAAAACAGCCAACAAAAAAAAGAGAAATCTTCACAGAGGAGAAAAAACTCAAGTAAAATGGCAAATCATCCTTAGCATGAAATCAGCTTACGAACTCAAGGTGATATCTCAACAGGCCGAAGGACAAAGGTCACGGGGAAGAGTGCGCCAAATCAAAACACAAAAAAGGGATCCTAATGAGATCCTCTCTCGAGGGGCAGCTCGGTCAACCACAAAATCCCAACCGCTTGGCTGCACTCTTGAAGGAATGCATTTGCATATATGGAAGATGTGAAGATCTGGAGATAAAGATGTGAGGATCCTCCTCCCTGTTGATCTTCCCCTGGAAGGATCTTTGGCTGAGACAGCGGCAGGCCAAAGGTTAAGGATCATTTGCATACGTGGTGGCAGGGACTTTCGGCAATTAGACGATCATGATCATCAGCGGCAGCTGTTTGTGTTTGCCAGATCACAGATAGGTATATCACTACTCCCAATTAAAAGGTCAAGCGTGACGCGGTCCCTTGGGTTAATTTGTTATGTCCTTAGCTTCAACTTTACATAACTTTCCGAAGGGATGTCCAGGATCGCTAAGGATCCATACACCCGCCCGCTAAGCAGCGCTAATCGGGCTGATCAGCGAGCGCTAATCGCTCGGGACTAACTGGATCCTACGGATCAGCGGCACTGATCCCTTGTGATCCTGGGTACTGCGTAATGTTGGATTATGCCCGGCGGGCCAACTTTTAAATCGCTTTTAAATCCACATCACTCTAGTTCAAGTCGCACTTCTTCGGATGCGCGGATTAATGAACTGGGCGGGCCGATCAGGTAGTTTCTTTCGTCCTTTAATCCTTTCTCCGCTAAGTCCGGTTGCAGTTCGTAATCCGGTTGGCCATGTTGAGAGACGTCAATGGCAGGTCTGTCCTCTGCAACATCGGCAGGTAGGCATATAGGTCCTTTTCGCATTTCCCTCTGCATTTGCGAACAACTTGTGTAATTTGCATTTCGCGGCGCTTTGTTTGCTTTCTGCCATGTCGTTTGTTTTGTAAATATTGCTTTTAAATTTCCCCCGCCCCCGGACAACGCCCAATTATCCCCACTTCCATCAGTTATCCAAAAATTTCATTCTAATGAATATATAAAAAATCATGGAATTTCGATGACCAGAGGCACCTTAATTTCGATTGTAATTAATAATACAATTATGTTTTTGTTTTTCCAATGTTTTAGATAACAAGGTTATAAAGTATTTTTTAAATTAAGGTACTATAGTTTTGGATTTTTATTTGTATTATTATTATAATAAATGTAAATATTATTATAAACGTAATAAATATTTATTATTCATACAAAAACAAGTTTTCTAAAGGATTTTATTCATAAAATATAATTTTTTTTTTTTTTTTTTTTTTTTTTTTATTTATTAAAATCTATTTTTTTTTACTCTTTAGATATAAAGATAATATCCTTGTTACTTATAATAGTTTTGTCACATTGTAAAATATAATAAGTGTTGTATTATAAAGCAAATAACACACACAGCGAAAATAAACTTTCTGGCTATGAAAATAATAATAAGATCCTAATAGATACAAATTATTATGAAAATCCTATTTACAAAGATGCATTTCCCCAAATGGATTTAATACTATCCATATCGCCATTTACCTTGCGTAGAAGCCAAACTCGGATCCTAATTGTGGCAAAGCTTTCCCAAAATTAAGTTAGCACGCACACCCGCACGAAAATGTGTTAAAGCAACAAGAAATCTGCTCGGCCCCAACTTCATCGGCCAAATTGCAGTTGGCTAAGTTGTTAATGTGTCTGGGCTTAAAGTTGCCCAAAAAACAATTGGCGAAGGCGGCCCCTCTCCCTCTCTCTCTCTCCCATTTTTGGGGGACAGAAATCAATAATCAATAGTGAAACGGAGATGCCAAAAAACGGCAAAGAGCCAAAAAGGCAGCTGCAATCGGCCAAAATGCAGCGCCAGAAAATGCAAAAGGATAAAATGAGCGAGAGAGAGAGGAGAGAGGAGAGTGAGTGCAAGAGAGAAGGCAACGAAGAAGGGGATGCTGTGTTGTTTTTGGGGTTGGGGGAAATCACTCAGATTTACAGCTAGCATCCGTTTTGAGTGAGTTTCGCTCTGCCTTAGCTCGCTCTCTTCTGCTCTCCGTGTAACGGCGGCTCCTCTCTCCTCTCCCCCCCCTTTCTTTCTCCTGCTGTGTGTTGTTGCACTTCTGCCATTTGTTTCTGCTTTGCAATTGAGATTTGAGATTCGAGTGGACCAGCTTTGAGTTCTTTTTTGGCGAGTGCACTATGAGGAGCAGATTTTTAGCTATTAGAAGAGCCCGCTGAGCACGAGTTTAGTCAGTTGTGCTCCGAGTCCCGAAAACGAAAGTCGCCAGCATAAACAGGCAGAGCCCCTAACAAAGCAAAACCTAACAAACTCCAAAGGACGAAACTTAACTGCTATCAAAATAAATATTGCCAATTGAAAACCCCACCAATACTCCGTGTTCGTGCTTAAAAAAAAAACTTAAATTCAGAACAAAAAGGATTTCACCAAAAACTTACTTTTCCGCACATGCGCGAATTCCGCGAAAAAGAAGGCAAAAAAGCTAGCTAAAAAGCGAGGCCCAAAAAATAGACAAAAACGAAGAGCAAGGAGCCCCCACATCGCCGCTCCCCCTCGCACGCACTGTGCGTTGTGTGTTGGTCTAACGGTAACCGTGCCGCGGTCAAGCGAGAGCAAAGGAGAGAGAGAGGCCGCGAGCTGGGAAAAAAGTTCCGTGCTCCCGGTTCCCGTTTCCCAATTCTCCCGGAGAATTCCTCTGGAGCGTCCCCAAGGTAAGTAAATGGGGGTACCATTATCTAGTACTCTCCGGCGTTTCGCTGCATTTGACCTCCAATAAATCGTAAAAAACACATGCAGGTAGAAATCGCGAAAAGCTTTCCATGGATAAACAAATAAACAAGAATTGCAAATCACTTTTGCGGGGGCAAATTGCAAATTGTTGAGGCATTCAGGAATATACACGGTTTTGAGGGGTTTTACGTTCTTACATTTTAATAGTTTTACACATTTTTGTATTTATTTTCCTTTTGATGTGATGATTTCCTGAAAGTAAAAAGTTTTCTATCTGAGCTAACCACCCATTATCTCAAGTCCCCAACTTTCTTCTAGTTCTTTTACCTTCTTGGTCGAGTGCTTCTTTTTCTGTCTAACCTTACAAACAAGCGGGCTCACTCACACACACACACCGAGTGCTAAATCATTTGCTAAAAATGCAAACGGCAAAAATTCTAAAACAATATTTTAAAATCTGTCTGGCTTTTGGCCGATCTTTGGGTGAACTTGTTTTTTGCCCGCGCTGTCTGTTTTTGCCCAGAACTGCAGCGCATATCCCCCAGTCCCCCTTTTACCACCCCCCCTTAGACACCGCCCCTGGCCACGCCCCCCTCTACGCCTGACAGCTAATTTTATTTGTTTACATGTCGACTTTCATGTTGTTTTTTTTTCGCCTTCCTGCGCCTCCCAAACCCCCCTCAATTTTTAGCATTTCTTTTCGCTCTTCTTTCGGCAAATGCATTTTCGACTTTTCTTTTTTAATAATTTAAATTTAGACATCGAACTATAATTCAAAGTCAACGTGGGCAATTTTTTAATGGCAAATAGTTTGGCACTTGCCAAAATGCATTTCAAATATAATAAATATGTGACGGCCGCTGGCGATGATTTTTTAGGACCATCATCTCATCATCGTCACAAGATCGGAACTTTGGCATAGACGACAGTTTTAATGTTTTCTGACAAAAAGAACCGAGCGCAAATCAAACAAATGGGGCTTTGTTAGGCGCATAAAAATAAATTACACATATTATACGGATATATTTATAAATCCCGAATGACATTGAATCACTTCAAAAGCAGCAGCAGCAGCACTGCACTTTTCCCTAAGCGAGTGCAGCTCCAAAAATTGCATTCTACCAGGGGCACAACAACAAGTTGTTCTAAGCCAACAACAAGGGGCATGCTATATGGTATATGGTCCATATAGAAATATACGTTTATATTTTCTGGCATATCCTGCTCTTGGCTTGCTTTTTGTACGGATTTTTCAACAAAAACATTTTTTGTGGCGCATTTTCTGCGTTTGCGAATTTTTCCATTTTTGCCATTTTCATGATATTTTTAGAGGGGTAAAAAGGGGGGTGTTGGGGGGACCAAAAACGACTAGCACATGTTTAGTTTACTTTTGCAGTTTCGGTTGCCTGGCTGCACTCGTTGTGGCCACCCCCCTTTTCCGCACGCCCCTGCACGCCCGGCGTAATATTAATTTTACACTTGGCCTTTAGTTTGGCTTTGTTGCTGTTGTTGGGCATGGCACAAAAAAGCCCAGACGAAAGGCAAAAATTCTCTTTGTTTCTTTCATAGACCCCACTCACACTCACACGCACACCCACACACACGCACAGCAATTAATTTTGGCTTTTCTTTTTAAAAATATCCACAATAGCGAAATTAAATAAATATGCTAAGCTTCATTTTGTGTGCACTTTCTGTTTCCTGAACCATCAATTATGCCTAAGTATTGTAGATATTTTAGCTGCCAGATAGCACAACACCAACCCATATACCATGTACCACCCAACCCCCCCTCCCCCTTGCGTTTTGCGTTTTTAATAATATTTACTTAAAAGCACAAACAATTACCCAAAAATGCAGCAACTGCACAATTTTTCAGCGTGAAATTGGAAATTGAGAAATTGAAAAAAATGGGCAAATGCAGCGGAACAAAAAATTTTAATGCGAGAATTATTTGTAGAACTACGCAAATCAAAGTGAAATGTATAGCGGAAAATTTGTTGCCAGGAAAACGTATTTCTTTCGAAAACTTTTAGTCGGGGATTTGAAAAAGCAACGGAATTATATAAAAAGTTAAATGGTAGAGAGATTTTTAATATTTAAAGTATTGGAATTTTATAAAAAATGTGACACCATATAGGTATAGGTAAAAATGCACTTTATACATACCATATATTTTCTGTTCATCAAAAAAATGCACATGGAAATTAGAATATTTTAGTATAGTTCGTGCCTTGCTGAGATATTTCCCTCCATATCCAAATTTATAAATAAAGCATATATTAAAATAATGCGGTAATTAGGGAAGAATGCGTAGTATTGCATACAGTTTAGTCAGTCCGAGCATTTGTTTGCCCAAGGAAATTTCCCGCAGGTCTAAGCGACTCTGATCCGTTAATTTAGTTAAATCCCGCAATCCTTTTGCTTTTTATTATTAAGCAGAAACAGCCTCCTTTGTTGCCTACTCCTGCTGTCAGGAGTGCTCTAGTTAATCCCCATAGAAAACCTAGGGAAAATTCGCAGTTCGCTGCTAAGCTGGCCATCCGCTAAGCTCCCGGATCATCCAAATCCAAGTGCGCGTAATTCTTTTTTGTTTCGCACCAATTTTGTGCTCTAATCCAGAATGGATCAAGCGATCCGTGATCCGCGATCCGCGAACCCCGATCCTCGCAATTCCCAATCCACGACCTGTACCTGACTTCCCGTCACCTTTCGCCCATCTAATCCCTTGACGCGTGCGTCCGTCTACCTGAGTCACATATAAGCCAATGCCTGTTGCAATTGCTTAGTCAGTCACGAGTTTGTTAGCACAGCGACAACATCATCACACGAGCAACATCATCATCATCATCAACATCATTGCAAATCCCTTACGAAAATCCCGAAAAATTTGGAATATACCTTGATACAATCACAGCCAAAGAGCGGCCACGAAACGGTAGGATATTGTAGCCATCACCCAGTTATCCATTACCCAGTTTCTCCATTTTGTTCCGAAATCACTCAAATCCCCGTTCATGGGGGTGGGTGGCCAGCCACCCCTGGCTTTTGTTTAGGGGTGGTGCCGCAACAAAAAAAAGAAAAGCGAGGAAAAATAAAATGAAAAACAAGCGAAAAAAGCCAAAAAAAAAGAGAAAAAACTCGACGCAGGCGCAGTGTTTGAATGGCCATACTAACCCCACTCTCTTTGTTTTTTTCCACATTACAGCCGTCTAGAGCCGCCAAGATGCAGAACTGGGAGACGACAGCCACGACCAACTACGAGCAGCACAACGCCTGGTACAGCAGCATGTTTGCGGCCAATATCAAACAGGAGCCGGGTCACCATCTCGATGGGAATAGCGTGGCCAGCAGTCCGCGTCAATCCCCGATACCCTCCACCAATCACCTGGAGCAGTTCCTCAAGCAGCAGCAGCAGCATCAGCAACAGCCCATGGATACCCTCTGCGCCATGACCCCATCGCCCAGTCAAAACGATCAGAATAGCCTGCAACACTACGATGCCAACTTGCAGCAACAGTTGCTGCAGCAGCAGCAATACCAGCAGCATTTCCAGGCAGCCCAGCAGCAGCATCATCACCACCATCATCTGATGGGTGGCTTTAATCCCCTGACGCCACCGGGTCTGCCCAATCCCATGCAGCATTTCTATGGCGGCAATCTGCGACCCAGTCCTCAGCCCACTCCCACATCCGCATCCGCAGTGGCTCCAGTTGCAGTTGCCACCGGCAGCAGCAGCAGCACAGCGAGAAATTGCAGGCTCTTACACCGCCCATGGATGTCACACCGCCCAAGTCGCCGGCCAAGTCCAGTCAATCGAATCTAGAGCCCGAGAAGGAGCACGACCAGATGTCCAACTCCAGCGAGGACATGAAATACATGGCCGAGTCCGAGGACGATGATACGAACATCCGCATGCCCATCTACAATTCGCACGGAAGATGAAGAATTACAAGTGCAAGACCTGCGGCGTTGTGGCCATCACCAAGGTGGACTTTTGGGCACACACCCGCACCCACATGAAGCCGGACAAGATCCTGCAGTGCCCCAAGTGCCCGTTCGTCACCGAGTTCAAGCACCATCTGGAGTACCACATCCGGAAGCACAAGAACCAAAAGCCCTTCCAGTGCGACAAATGCAGCTACACCTGTGTGAACAAGTCCATGTTGAACTCGCACCGCAAGTCGCACAGTTCGGTTTATCAGTACCGTTGTGCGGACTGCGATTATGCCACCAAGTACTGCCACAGCTTCAAGCTGCATCTGCGCAAGTATGGACACAAGCCTGGAATGGTCCTGGATGAGGACGGCACTCCGAATCCTTCGCTGGTCATCGATGTCTATGGCACTCGTCGTGGTCCAAAGAGCAAGAATGGTGGACCCATTGCCAGCGGAGGAAGTGGCAGCGGCAGCCGCAAGTCAAATGTGGCAGCTGTGGCCCCGCAGCAACAGCAGCCATCCCAGCCCATCCAGCCAGTCACATCCCAGCTGAGCGCTGCCCTGCAAGGATTCCCTTGGTGCAGAGCAACTCGGCTCCCGCGGCGGCATCTCCTGTGCTCCCACTGCCCGCCTCCCCTGCCAAGAGTGTGTCCAGCGTGGATCAGACTCCCAACCTGCCCAGCCCAGCTAATCTTCTGCCTCCTCTGGCCAGCCTGCTGCAGCAGAACCGCAACATGGCCTTCTTCCCGTACTGGAACCTTAATCTCCAGATGCTGGCTGCCCAGCAACAGGCCGCCGTCCTGGCCCAACTATCGCCACGAATGCGGGAGCAACTCCAGCAGCAAAACCAGCAGCAGAGCGACAATGAGGAGGAGGAGCAGGATGATGAGTACGAGCGCAAGTCGGTGGACTCTGCCATGGATCTCTCTCAAGGAACCCCCGTGAAGGAGGAGGAGCAGCAGCAGCAGCCTCAGCAGCAGCAGCCGCTGGCCATGAATCTCAAGGTGGAGGAGGAGGCCACGCCGCTGATGAGCAGCTCGAATGCCTCCAGGCGCAAGGGACGCGTCCTCAAGTTGGACACCCTGCTGCAACTGCGATCGGAGGCCATGACTTCCCCAGAGCAACTGAAAGTGCCCAGCAGCAGCAGCATGCCCACTGCATCCTCACCGATTGCCGGACGCAAGCCCATGCCCGAGGAGCACTGCTCGGGAACCAGCTCGGCGGATGAGTCCATGGAGACGGCCAATGTGCCGCAGGCCAACACCAGTGCCAGCTCCACGGCCTCCAGCTCGGGTAACAGCTCCAATGCCAGCAGCAACAGCAATGCGAACAGCAGTAGCAACTCCAGTAGCAATGGAACCACTTCAGCGGTCGCAGCTCCTCCATCCGGAACTCCGGCGGCAGCGGGAGCCATCTACGAGTGCAAGTACTGTGATATCTTCTTCAAGGACGCCGTGCTCTACACCATCCACATGGGCTACCACAGCTGCGACGATGTGTTCAAGTGCAACATGTGCGGCGAGAAGTGCGACGGACCCGTCGGCCTCTTCGTCCACATGGCCAGGAACGCTCACTCCTAAGTCCCCCACTCACCTTGTTATTATTATTTATCACTATTATCACATTAATCGTTGTCCAGAATTGTATATATTCGTAGCCTAAGTTTTCCAAAACACTATTTTGTTGTCGAAAATTGTAAATAAGCCAATTAAGCCGCTAATTCTAGACCTAAGTTTATATATCTAATCCTAACTGTATTGAACTGTAGCCACCTTTCTATCTGTCCTCTATACTCTCTTGTATTTTCGAACTCGACTAAAAACCCTGAAAACGGTTTAAAAAATTATAATAAATGCATGGAGAAACGTAAGCCTAAGTTTAGACTAATTTGTAAGTCAAGCGAGTCAAGCGAACAACCAAACAAACAAAACCAACAGTCCAAAGTCAAATTAATAAAATATAGTTTATAATATATACATAAATGAGTATGTTTTATTAATACAAATATTTAGACTTATTTAATCTATGTATGTATACACATAACGCTCAATTCTCTTTCTGATATTCTCTCAGTATTTTATTAGTGAAAGTCGAAAGCAAAAACGAATCAAACGAAATCAAATCAAATAAATACAATTTATTCAATATAATTTTACAAGTTAATCTTTTTTTTTTCAACCTTTGGCACTAATGACAATATTTTCGATGCAACTGAAACTGACGAAAGAAGAAGTACAAATTTAGATATTTTTAAAGAGTAGCCAAGATGCACGCAATCTGAGCAACGGATCAAAATTAGTATTTACCCATTACAATCTAAGCCGAAGTCATAAAACGAATTTCGAGACTTAAGATGTGCGCCCAGTGTAATCCCTAAACAAATCCTTTTTAAGTAAATTAAAGTAGCCTAAGATTTGCCCACGAAATGTTTTTATGTAATAACATAATAAAAATTAAGATATTATTAAAAATTGGATGTTTCATTATGGTGTGGTTGATTTTAAATAAATTTTGGGTATTCGTAATTGATAATGCTGGACACTACTAAAGTATATATAATATACATTGTATATACAAGTCTCGTGATGTAAAGAATCTAGAAACTAAATCTTAATCTACGTTTTGGACTCCAGTATTATTTAATATATTTCGCATTATGTTCCTTAATTCAGAACTCTTATATTATATTGGAACTGGTCTTAATTCTTAGTTCGTAGATTCCTTGGTATTATTTTGGGTTTGACTACTTCAAATCTTACCCAGCATTTTTCATAGCCCAGACCCAACCATATGTCCGAGGACTGACCAAGGAGAACTGTCAACACGCGATCTTTACCATATGATTTATCGAAACTTATCACCCACACCAAAAAAGTTACTGAAGAAATTGGGAAAATGGAATAGAAGATTCGTCTTTTCAAGTGAAGAACTGCTCCATCATGTGCTAAATACCCTGGTTGTTAAGTGAAAAGGAAAAACATACAAAAAATTTGTGTGCGGGCGCAACCAAACAAATTGGACAATCTCCCTCTCATTTCATATTTCTGTGCCTGAAATTTTGATGGATTATTGACGTTTTGCGTGAAAACGCACAATTCGCATTGCATATGAGAGGGGAATTATATAATAATGAAAAACTCATGAGCACGCGTTGGAGAATTCGGAGGAGTGGCAGGAAGATGACGCAGCAAGGCGTCTCCTTCAGGGATCGGGGATCACTTGGGATCGATCTTCGGAATTTTGGGGTTGGCGCGCATGCGTCGAACGTACTTCAGCCAAATGGCGCGTGCTTGGAGGAAATTCTATTCTCCCAGTTTTTGGGTACTTGAGTGGAAACTCAATTTCATAAAAATAGTTTTCTCCGCGCTGCTTCTGATTGGTGGTTGAATATACACATTTAAAGAATGCACTTCCCTTTTATATTATTTCCATGTAAATTACGTTTAAATGCCGTTTTTCCTCATTAAAATTTTTCAATTTCCTCAATAATTGATATTTATGGCTGAAATTAATTTCGATAGGAGTCAAGGGTGAGTGCAGGGTCAAGATGATGTTTTAAGGCCCCTGATCTTATCGCAAATTAGATTTTGCATATCCCTTTTAGATTAAAGCCAGAGACAGAATCCAAGGATCTAAAGATCCTTGCTCATTTGAGCGAAGTTAAGTTGGCAATTTGGCCCTTGTACCGGATGAACTCTTGGCTTGTGGCCGCCGCAAGCGAAAGATGTTTATCGAGGGAGTCCCAACCTCATTGTCCTCGTCCGAGCTAACGATCCCTAGTTTCTGGTTTTGTTCCTTACTTCTTATCTCAGCTTGTGGCTTTGTAGCATCTTTTTTCTTCCTGCTGCCGGTCATTGTTTGCGGAATAGACAAAAAAAGCAGGAAAACAGGAGAGTTCTGGCCACTTTGTAACCTGGGAGTTCTTCAAATAGTTCAATTGCCCGTCTGTTGACCATTTGAAAGGTGTAATTTTGGTCCTGTTAGGGTCTTCTCTTGTGTCTTGGAGGCAGCTGTTTTTGCTCTCCGCCTTTCCCAGCTATTGACTCACCTTTGATTCCCTCAACTCTGATTGATCAGCAGGACACGCGTATGGCACACTTTCACAATACATAATTTGGGCTTTTAATATGTTCCCCCTCTCCTTCAGCAATTATCAACCTATCCAAAGTCTAGAGAATAATAAATTGCACTTGGAAAAACACAACAAATATTTATTTACCTTCCTTATATATCTTACTCTTACTTAAATATTACTTATATGTTTTAAAAAAAAGTACTAATATTAGGTAACTGAATTCAAAGTGATCTATACAGATTTTAGGTCATAGCATTGAGAGAGAAATTAGGAAGTAAGCCACACGGTAATCTTGTTCTTAAGGTATGTATACTTTGAAGAACCAATCTTCCTGTAAGAATTATTTTCCTTTATTACTAAATATTTTCCCTCAGTGCATTTATAAATAATAACGGCTTGGGCATTTGTATATCCCACAGGGCTGAGCAACGCCATAAATAGGGTATTTATGTTTAACCACCACCCCGACTTCGCCATTTTGGGATGGGGTTGTATTCCGGATTTGGTGTGGGTTACGGATTGAGTTTTGGAAACAGTTTGGTTTGGTTACAACGGTGCACAATTCGGTGGCCATTTTTAGCTGCGTTGGCACTAAAAATAACAGAAAACCAAAATAGCAAACATTGATAGGGGAAAGGGGTTTACAAGGATTTTCACTCACCCAAAAATATATATTACTCAGGGGGTAGCATGTTGTGGGTGTTTGGTTGATTAAAACGCGCCCGGGGGCCGATGGTGAAATGCAGGATTCGATGATTAGCAATCCACCCCCGTCACCATCCTTCCGACGAGCTGTTGATTGCATCAGTAAAAGGCGGCGCCCACATCCAGAGATCAGCAGAGAATTATCGAAACGCTCCGGCTCCTTTTTTCCACAACTTTACGCATTTTAATTATGAAAATTGGCAGGGGCAGGGGCAGGATCAGTCCGAGGGACCCGGATCAAGGGAATACGACTGCGCCAGCATCTGTGTGGGCACCCATGGGTTAATTACCGGCGGTGCGGCGATCCTTTCGTCGTCTCAAGCGTGACGTCATGAGCGAGCCACCTAAAGGATTTGTTGAACCCCCTATAATTTATTTCTGTAAACAGTTTTTCACTGGAATTGAGCCCAAAAGGCAGTCCTTTTGAGCGGGCATCCTTCTGGCTCGTCCAACAGCTGACCAGTGGTCGACCCGCGAGATTGAGGTGGGTGTAGCGAATTCTTAAGTGGCCAACACCGCCGCTAACGAGCGCTAAGGATGTGCTGACCATCTGAGTTTTGGCATTCGACCAATTTATGTGCCTGGCGGTGAATTACGAGGGTTGGAGTGCCTATAATAGATCTTCCCAAACGCGTGGCCAGTATCTTACAGAACTAAGGTTGACCTTTTATTCTCGAGGTACTTATTTATTTTATACAATTTTGGAGAAGGCAGAAATATTTTAAATTTGATATCTGTTTTAAGAAAAAAAACGATAAACAAAATCGAGAATATATTGAAAACAGTTTAATTAAAGATTGGCCTATTATTTTTACACAACTCGGAAAGATAAATAAGATAGAGAGATATAGAATTAAAGAATTATCAAAGTATTTCATTTCTTAAAACGATGCACCTATGGAAAAAATATAATTCTTAAGAAATTGATTTTATTTTAAAAAATAATCATTTTATTCGATTTTTGTTAACTTACTACTTAATGCATGCACAAACTGTGATGAAATACTATGATTTTCGTTTATTAAGAAATATATTTCAATGGAATTTACATTTAAAGCCCCCTCCAATCCGGACTAAAATATCCATTCAACTGGCATTATGTATGCCCACCATGATAGTTAATCATCCTAGTCGACAGTCATTTCACTCGACCACAAAATTCCAAATACTATTCAAAGGCAAAAACCAAAACTAATTGCAACGAATCAGTTGGTGAATATGCAAAACTGTAGAAAATTAAAGCCTATAAGATAATGATGATGTTGATGGTGGTGGTGGGGGTGTAACATATATATTGAATAGCCTATGGAGATCCATGAAGGACCCACCAGATCCCATAGGGAAATAAACAAAGCGGATAGCTAAGGAAACTCGCGACAGTAAACAGCGAAAGTAACAAAACAATTTTTACAGTTCGGCAAACAAAATGCGTCCATCGTGTCCACTCCACATGTAAATGGATGGAAAAAAAGAGGAGATATAGGAGAAAAACTACGACTGGGATGGAAAAAACATCTGCCCCTGATGGCACTTTAGTTAACGAAAAACAACAAAAGGTTAAAAATATATGCAAGCGGACTCTGGCTTCCCGATACCCAGTATACCATCGAATACCATCCTCAGTTCCATTCCCATTCCAGTCCATCGATAATGTCCAGCATCCGTTATGAAGAGACCGAAAAAAGGAAGTTGACAACATCGTGTGCCTCGGCCTGTAAATGTATTTTTGTAGTTTTCTACTTTTGTATCCGAGTGTGGGGGTTGCACAGATACGATACGCGTGTCCTAAGAGTCCTCTACCCTCTGTATCCCATATTTGCACTATAGAAAGTCCAGCCGCTGGATTCGTTTGGTCAGTTTGCTACAAACAATGCAGATACTTTAGTGTGGGCCAGTCGATTGAATTCCCCGATTCCATACTCTTCCAGCAGCCTTTACTTTTTGTTTGCCCTCGGACTACGTCCACCAGATGCTATCAAGTCAACAGTGAAATCATAGACGCCTGGGAGAGACCCAAGTTCGGGAAGGGTAAAATAGAAGATACAATCAGGGGGCATACTTTAATTAAAAGGGATAATAGTTTACAAAATCTTTATTATAACTCGCTGACTGAATGTAAGATAAACAGGCATTGTATTTAAAATAAATATCTAAATGGATCCTTCCTATAAAACATTTGTTGCAACCCCCATAAAAATAGTT